GCGGGCAGCAGGGTTAATTTGATCTAATATGTTGTGTTTTTTTGATTGTTGTAGATGTAAGTAGCTAATTAGAATCGCTAAAATTCTTGAATATATTCTGAGACAAAGGTCTTGTTAATTATTTTCAGTTTTGTTCAAGCTAATTAAACCAACAGTTTTTCAATAACAGAAGAATATGTAAAAGTATGGTATTTGGGGTAAAAGGCGCATCTGCTGTCAGGGCTAAAGGCACAATAATTAACTTGATAATCAATATCTGGCTAACTTTTCCATTTGTTGACATAGCATGGTTAGATTCAGATGGTAAATATCATATATTAAGATGGGTGTCCACCTTAGAGATAATTACCATATTTATGGTGAAACCATCATATTTAAAAATATGATATTAATCATATAATTTAATAAAATATGATTTAATGTTACTAAATCTAAATTAAATTATTATGGGATCTCATTCAATGCTTTCAGAATCTTTAAAAAAATTAAATAATTTTGATTAGGTACTTTTATATTAGTATATTGTAATGACGTTGTGGAGGTCTCCTGGCCGCATGCCCTGCTGATCTCCAGGAAGATCAAACCATATATCGCATTATGCATACATCCCGTTGATTCTGTATTATGACGCAGTAGGAACAGTGTTTTGGCACAGCTGGTGTCTCATGGGTTGCAGACAGTCACTCATGCATGTCAGTCAACTTATCACGAGTGCTTTGTTAGCGACCCGTGGCGCATGCATTCTTACCATGACGTGGAAATTGCCAAATGAGCAGAGCCAGACAAAACACACTTAAAACCGCACGTCCATCAATCCCAAGTCTGTGTTTAGCAATACAACTCATTCCCTTCCCTATTCCCTTGGGTTGAAGAGCTTAAATGAGGAAATGTCATAATATTTACAGAAGCAGGATGAATCTGTATGCTGCCATCATTTTAGCAACTGTTGCATATGTGAAGAGTCTGCAGCTATTTGCAGGCCCGGATTGGCTAATCCGGAGCACCGGGAGAATTCCCGGTGGGCCTGTCTGTTTTATTGGCCAGGAGGGCCGGTGTTGTCATGGCACTGGGTTGAATGCTTTATATAGGCTCCAGTCACAGCTTTCTGAGTGTATAATGAACGTTGTGAAATAATTGCCTAATATTAACTCTAATTTGGTGCTGCAATGATTTGCATATCGCGACGATAACCGACTTCATAATCTGAGCTGCTTCAGTATTCAAACACCGCTCGTCGGCAATGGCAAAATGTTTGAGATGGCCGATCAAAGCAAGCGGGATTTATGTTCACAGAAGCGCGAGCCGCGGCCGCGCGCCAATCCCAACGCGACGCTTCACGAGATAAGATGCATGTGGCTAAACTAAACAGCTGTTTTAATTACGAAAGAAGTTTTAAACGACCGAAAGAAATAATCCGTTTGTGAAGACTGTATCAATCAAAACTCAGCTTCGGGAAGGGGAGATTTACAGGTAACCTAAGATAAAGAGACTGAGAGAAGAAGAATGAGAGAAGATGGAGATGAGAAATGAGAGCAGGTAGAGGAATAGCCTTGCATAGGCTACTGTGCCCAGAATGAGAATAACTTTATTACAATGGATTCCTATTTAACACAGACATATATGTTCTTTGCCAATGATGATCATCAGTGTAAAAATAAGCTCAACTTAACCCTTGTGTTATGTTGCGGGTCAATTTGACCCGTTTCGATTTTTAAGTTGTTGGAAATACTGGTTAACCTTTGTTTTTTTTCTTGATATTTTGTGACTTTTTCTCATTTATCATGATGAACATGCATGCAAAGTTTCAACATGCTGATGTGTTTTGACATATACAAACAAAATTACTGTTACGTTCGTGATGTTCGCGGGTCAATTTGACCCTAATAGACAGCCATTCAAAAGCAACTGTACAGACACAAAATAAAAACATTTATTTTCTGTATGTCAGGGCACTTCAACTCCAGTTCTAACGTGCAAGTGCATCTAAAAGTGCTCGAACCCTAACCAAACACACTTGAAAAAGCTAAAATTACAGTGTTCAGAATTATTTGCAAATTACAGATGAAAATCTTTGTCAGACACAGATACTAAAATAAGCTCTCATTTCAATATTCAAGATATCTAAAATACCTAGCTTTTAACCAAAACTTTTAAGTAGGATTTTCAAAGGCAGCTTCACAGAGCCAAAAAATAAATAAAAAACATTTATTTGATGTATGTTTTTGTTATGTTTGGTTTCTCACTTCCCAGTGAGTGAATAATGAAACTAGGAAAATAGGTCTTAGGAAACTAGGGAAAGTTAACTTAGGAAAATGAAAAAATTTCATTATACAGCAATTTTTTTGTTCAGTTACGATGTTCAAAGCATAAAATGTAAAAAAAAAAAGTTAAAAAAAAGTTTAAAAAAAAAATATATGCAAAAAAATCAGTATACTGTTTATTTTCCAATTTTGTCAAAACAAAACTGTTTTAAAAAATGTTTTAAAAACATTTTCATACATCATATTTTCAGATATAATGTTTTTGTAATGTTTGACAAATGTTGATATTAAAAGTTTATGGTTTGTATCTAAATCTTTGTAATTTTTCATAGTGTGATTTTTGAGGAATTGTATTGAATCCAATTAGGGTCAATTTGACCCGGTCCATAAGGGGTGTACACAGAAATTGAACAGAACACAAGGGTTAACAACACAATCACCTATATATATAGGCTAATATATTGCTATTGTTATTGTATAAATTTAGATATTTGTATACCTCGAATGTGTTTATATTTCCCCATATCAGCACTGGGACTTTTCACTGTTTGTATTACTTCACTTGTCTGGGTGGGCATGCCCCCGAACCCCCAGCAAGATCCCTTTTTGGACCTCTGTATTTATAAAACCCTGTATACGGCTATTGCACTGAATAGAAATTTATATATTTTTTTAAATACAATGAATAACAAGGCTGTACAGAACACTGCACTATTGCAGACTTATAGCTATACTGAGGTTTCAATTACATTATTTTAATATAGTCAGACGGGAACTAATGTGGGCCGGTCTAAGGCATGAAACTCCAGGGCTGAAAATGAGTCCCACTCCGGCCCTGGCTATTTGTGATATTCGACAGCAGATTAAGTGTAATGTTATGCTAATGCCGGAACTCCATAAATATCTGTTGGTATAAGAGCGGTGAAGCTGTGAGTTATGCTGCATTGTTTGTATTGCGAGCTCCTCTCACCAGGTGGAAGGAATTGCGCATCTCGTCCTATTCCTGCCTCATGGGACCAAACTAGTCTGCAAATCCCTACGACGCCTGTCTGTAATGCTACTCAAGCCTCCGGCAATGTCCAACAGCCTCAAGTAAATTAGCCAGGATCCCTGTGGCGGAAAGAGCTGTAGGTTCATAGAGTCTGAAATAGTATACTTGATGTGGACTTGCCATTTTTTTGTGTAAATGTATTAATCGGAAAAGTGTGAAAATGACCTATCTGGGGTTTTGGGACTTACTAACCTTCCAAAGTTGTACTGAAGTATTTGTTGTGTTGCTACAGTGTGTCTAGACTGCATGATAAATGCTGAAGCCCATGCCAGTCTTGTAGTGGAACTTGATTTTGTTAAAACTATTTAGTTCTTTAAGGCAAGACACGGCAGGCAAAAACATTGTTTTGTTTTTCACTGGTCAATTTTGAGATTTTGTGCTATTTGTCTCCAATAACATGTCTTCTTTCAGACTTGTGGTGAAAAAAAGTCCAAAATACACATTTAGGTCTTCATTCTACCACACTTTGTCTATTTGCGTTTGTAGATTTCTCCTAAATTCAACAAAAGTTGAATTTCATAGTCATCCCTGTCATCACATATACCATTGGAAAGCTCTCTCTCCTGTACAATGTTGTGGGATCCAAATATGGTAATTTCCTTTTTTATCAGTAACCAATCGTGAAAGTACAATGGGGCATTTAATTCTAAAAGCGAAATCTCATTGGCTGATGTCAATTCTTTAAAGGCCGTTTTCTCAAAATGTGTTTTTTCTCATACTCTGAGCCAGAAATCTCCACTTCAGCAGCACTTACACACACCAAACTCTCCAGTTGTATTCCTATCCATATTCTTAAGGTTTTTACAGAGGGGTTTGTTCATATATCATTCAGATTTTGATTAATACAACATTTTATACCTAAAAACGGGGCGAAAATAGATTTTTTATGGCTGCTGACAATGAGTGATAAAAAGATATCCAAAATCCCCTATGTAAAAACCTTTGACTCTAATATGTCAACAAAATTAAACAAGAATTTTGAATCTGGCTTTATCTAATGTTCAGATTTCTCTTCTGGAAATACATGCAAATTAGCGCATATTTAATGAGATAATACCTAATTTGCACATTTACACATAAACATTCTAAAAACTTGTACTACAAAAGATATTTGTCTTAAAGTCAGTAATCAACTGGGAAAGTGTAATGCTGATATCTATTAGTTAATTTTTTTTTTCCCATTCACCTGGGCTGTCTCCCCTTTTAAAAAAAAATAGCACGAAATGGAATTCACAACACATGTTGCTCCTGAAATGTAATCTATTCCGAAGTGAAGCATTTAGTGAGAAATAGTGAAAGTGTGGAATTTTATCCATCACATTTCCAGCTGAAATGACCACCAGTGGCACCACCAGTAAATGCCAACAATTTTTATTCCTTTTTAAACAAATTATAATTACAGGGGAATCATTTAATTTAACTTATAATAAACCATTGTCAGATTCACATTCATCTGTTTCAGATAAAAACGGACTTTTAAGTGCCACTCACTGGACAAAAAAAAAAGTGACACAAAACATGCAAGGACGAACATAATATTGTTTTGCAGGCACGTTTTTCATTGAGACTGGGTTGCAATAAAACCTGGAACTTTTTTAACGAAAGACAATAATGTCCTAAATGTGGAATTGTCCACCAGTCCATTGCATGATTTCACAGACATGCCGTGTTTGTATCTTTCTCTACAGTGCTGTTGAGTTTGCTCTCGACTGGGGCTCAGACCGAGATGAAGAGGGTTGTCGGGGACAACGCCACATTGCCTTGCTATCACCAGTTCTGGCAGTCGAATGGACAAACACTGGACATCGAGTGGCTCCTGCAGAAACCTAACATCAAACAGCGTGTGGTAAAAAATATTTTGCTTTTTATCCTCCCTCTCTCTCTCTCTCTCTCTCTCTCTCTCTCTCTCTCTCTCGGGATACAAGTTTTGTTTTTGCATTATACTTCTCATCCCTTTTGTCTGTCATCCGGGTCTCCAGTCACTTGGTCTAAACATGTTATATTTGGATACTAACTGTTTAAAAAACCTGAGGTGATTTTAGCCTTACAGATACTAGCCAGAAAAATTATTTTGTATTCAGAAAGGTCAGTGCTTATGTCCCTACACAAATCCCAGCCGAGTTACCTGCTATGTAGTTTGGTCAGGGAGTTGTAATGCTCAAATGGCCCAAACATTGTTTTCATAATCTTTTTTTTTGACAACAAGTTGTAGGGCTAATATTTTACAAACCTTATTTTAATTATTTGCTTTTCAGACCTTTTTTTTCACTCCTGTGTTGATAATGTCTTTTTGCTGTATTAGCAAAATACACACATAAAGTGTGTATACAGCCCTATTGTTTTCTGAAGGCAAAATATCTGAACAAAATATTATTAACTATGCTTAAGTTAATGTATGCTTTTTCCTGTGAGCTTTTTTTTTCTACGGATTTGTTGTTGTAGCTTGCCTTTTTTTTGTCAGATAAATACCTTAACCAAGTTAAGTGTTTTGTTCTTCCCTCATATTTAAAATATTTAAAAAATATAACATATTTAATATTATATTATATATATGTATATATTATTATGTATATATATAATGGCCACTACTGTGTGTGTGTTTGTATATATAATCCAAATCAGGCCAGCTGACAGTCTTGCCTGGGCCCGGGACAAGATAATCTTAGATGGGATCCCCCCCCCCCCCCCCCCCCATGATTTTTTTTTTTTTTTTATAGAACACCATATACTTTTACCCAAAATGAATAATAAAAACACGTTTAAATGGGTACATTTTCAATAAATGTCTTCATTTTCTTTTCTGACATAGCCTACTGCAGTTCTTGTTAAAACACACTAGACATGCATAATCTGTGCATTTTGGGCACTTTTTGTGTGAAATCATATTTATTTTTTGTCCATCAAAAGTGTGCTTTCACTTTTAAGCATGAGCAGCACAGCAAAAATAGACTCGGATCTGACCCATTATCTGTTCACCGATGATGACAGTGATGCATTTCAGCCGGCTTTTTATTTCTCATCTCCATAAATAGTAGTAAAGCTAATCCAAGGGCTAGAAATCAATGAATTCTTTGCTAATACTTCCTCGTCATCATGGAGAGCGCAGTTCGCACCGCTTTCTCCTTTCCACAAGCGTTTGCTCTCCCGTGGCGTCTGTCGTTGCTATGCAACAATGAACTTAGGCGCGCCTGTAAAAACGAGCGCGCCGCGTCGCTATTATGAGCTAATATCCAAAATATTTCCATATGTGGCTCTTTCCTCCTTTCTTATCAACAAGTGGATTTACAGCATACAGCCACCACAGCAGCAGCACCGCCGGTCGCCATGTCTCAGCGCTTTTATGAAGAGGACGCAACTGCACGCGCTTTGGGCATGCACGCGCATCCCGGGTTTGAGAAAACCTGGTACCGTGGCGTGACGTTTAAAAATAAATTTGTACCGACTTGGTACCGAAGTGCCGGGTCTTTGACAACACTCATAAACGTTGGCTGCGCTGTTTCTTACCTTGGTCAACGTTGACTTTACTAACGTTAGTTCCAGCTTCACCGTCACCACCTTTTTAAAAATATTTTTTTAATGCATCTCGAAGGCCTCTATTTTCTTCTTCTCGTTTCTTTTCTGAGCACCGGACTTGTGCTGACATTTTGAGCGTAACGTTAGCCTACTGAACTTCAAATCAAATGACAACATCATATTTCGATCAGTGGCCAAACCATTTTTGTTTGTTGGGGGGGGGGGCTCTTGACCACTATTTCAAGGACAATTAGGAAGAAAACGAATAAAAAGCTTTTATGTAACTCAAATATTAGATATTTTTTCAACAAATATGCCTATTTTTTTTTTTTTTTTTTTTACAATTATTCCATAATTTAATGAGGGCCCAGTTCTGGGCCCCCCTACCTACCCTGGGCCCGGGACAACATACCCGTTTGTCCCCCCCTGTCGGCGGGCCTGATCCAAATAATAATTGTTTTATTAATAATAGTTAATAATTTGTGTGTTATTTTGGTTACCATCATATTTCCTTTTAAAGTAAACCATAAATACCATAAATAATAAAAAAAAGTTTTCATAATGATGTCTTAACTCTTTTGGGACAAGTGAAAGTCTCCCCTTAATTTTATATTTTGTGTTTGTCAGTAGTGGACAGACATATAATCTCAACCTCGTAAAATATACCGTCTAGCAATCTCTCAGATCACCATAGCAACCACACAAATAACCCAAGCAACTGCTAGTTTTGACTGTCATCTCTCTCACAGTTTCGTCACAGTTTCAGAGTCTGAGTCTGTCACAGGCTAAATTTCTCTTTGAAATGCACACCCGTCTGGTCCGCATGTATCAGTACACCTAACAGACGCTTCACCCATCTCTCTTTCTCCCTCGCTCTCGCATAAACACATTCAGATAAGAGCTCGTCTTATCTGCCTGAAGTGGGAATCTTTCACTGTGAAACTAACATTGTTTGAACACAGCTTCAAGTTTAGATATCTTTCATGTAGCAGCGCACACTAATTCATCAGGGGGACGTCAAAAGGCGATATACTTTCAGATAAATTGAATTATCTGATTGTGATAAGGCTTTTTATTCCCCCATGCACATGACAGACAGCGATCTTCCTTTGTTTGAAAGTCAGCACAGATCTGTTCATATAATCAGTTGAGATTTCATTTCTGAAGAAAGAAAGGCCTATAAAGAAACTCGCATCACAGTCTTTGAAACCTCTGGGACGGCTGGCTCATCGCATGTAATATTTAATGGAAAGACAACAGTTGAGACGTCATTAATTAAAATCAAATGTCTGAAAATGTGATTAGGAATAAAACTGAGCCTCTGGCATAATAAATAAGTCATTCTTTTGTTTTACTGTAAGGCTTGTGTTACTAGAAGCGTTCAGCTTGTCAACATTTAGCCACAACTTGTTTAGCAATGTGTTGTATAGGCTCTAAGGAGATGTGTTCACACACAAGAATACTGATATAGCCAGTGGTTTTGCATGTTTAGCATGGCCCAGTTTGCCCCTGCGTTCATTTTGAACGAACCTTTAATATGACTTGGGACTACAGAGTTGTCTCAGAGAGTGATTCGTTTGTTGACCGCGCATGCGCAACATCCAATGGGTTCTGTACCGGAAACTGAAGAGAATATGGAAAAAAAAAGTTTTTGCTCTGTTTTTCTGAATTAACGAGTTAATTATCTCAGAATTACGAGATAATTTGTCATGGAAAAAAGTTTTTGCTCTGTTTTTCTGAATTAACGAGTTAATTATCTCAGAATTACGAGATAATTTGTCATGGAAAAAAGTTTTTGCTCTGTTTTTCTGAATTAACGAGTTAATTATCTCAGAATGATGAGATAATTTTTCATGGAAAAAAGATTTTGCTCTGTTTTTCTGAATTAATGACTTAATTATCTCAAAATTATGAGTGAAAAATATGTTTTTCAAGAAAAATGTATCTCATAATTTTGAGATATTAACTCGTTAATTCAGAAAAACAGAGCAAAAACTTTTTTTCCATGAAAAATTATCTCGTAATTCTGAGATAATTAACTCGTTAATTCAGAAAAACAGAGTAGATTTTTTTTCCTCAAGTGAATGCAATACGCTTCCGTAGTTTTCTATGTGAATATATTTTAAAATGTAATTTAATTCCTGTGATCAAAGCCGAATTACTGCATCATTACTCCAGTCTTCAGTGTCACATGATCCTTCAGAAATCATTATAATATGCTGATTTTTGTGGAAACCATCAGTGACACTATTTTTCAGGATTCTTTGATGATTAGAAAGTTCAAAAGTACAGCATGTATTTGATCTATTGCAGCAATATAAAAGTCTTTACACTCACATTTGGTCAAGAAATAATCTTACTGACACCAAACTGCTGTATGGTTCTGTGTGAACCGCAGATATTTTGTTATGCTAGAGGTTGCTGTTGTAGCTGATTGTTTTAGGCCTTGTCCACATGGACAAGGGTATTTTTATAACCGTGACTTTTTTTACACGGTTCGGCCGTTCGTCCACACGGAAACGCAGTATCAGGTCACTGAAACCGAACATTTTTGAAAACCCCTGCCAGGGTGAGGATTTTCAGAAACGCCGGTTACAGTATTGTCGTGTAGACAGTAAAACCGGGGTTTTTGCCTTGCGATGTCAGATTGCGCGCCGTTATCTGCCTACCGGAACCTGTAATCACTTTTTATTAGGCTTCTGATTGGCCAACATGGCTTTACAGTTAGGGTTATATATCGCCACCTGCTGGTGTGGCATGCTCTTGACAGCGTGTTTTTGCGTTTTCATGTGGACGGGATTTTTTTTAAACGCAGGAGGAAAAACTCCGGTTATAAAAATAGCCGTGTCCGTGTGGACAAGGCCTAAGAGGGCTCTTGAAATTCTGAAACAGACAGATTGTTCCTTGCTGCTGAAAAAAAGAAGAAGATCTGCTTAAACCAGCCTAATCTCATTTGCTAGTCTTAGGTGGTTTAAGCTGGTCTCCCAGCTTGACCAACTGAAAAGTATGCAAAAACCCTTTGAAACCTGCTAACAGACCAGACAGAGTGAACGTTTTGACCAGCAAACCTGCAATACTTGCCTTTGACTTTGCATGTTCATGTGTAGTATATGTCGCACATCCATCAGCTGTTACTGAGATGAACGGAAATACAAACAAAGCTCTCTCCAGCTATATTACACCTATACTTGGCTAATGCAAACAACCTCTTTCTTTGAAGTGAAGCCATAACCTGTGACTCAGATGTTACTCTTGTTAGAGAAGATTATTCTGGCGTCAATTGTAATCTAAATAAATAAGTATGACAAAGAGTATCGTGTCATGACTGTCAGT